TGTGGGTGTGGGTGTGGGTGTGGGTGTGGGTGTGGGTGTAGGTGTGGGTGTAGGTGTGGGTGTAGGTGTGGGTGTGGGTGAGTGTGGATGTGGGTGTGGAAGTGAGTGTGGGTGTGGGGTGTGGGGATGGGGTGTGGGTGTGGGGTGTGGGTGGGGGTGGAGGTGGGGGTGTATTTTTCGATGTTTGTGTAGCAACAGAATCTCAATGTATGAAGACTCAGAACGAAAACCCACACCCACATTCTGTAATTGTGACTGTGCAGTGTAGCTGTAGAATCACACCCGCAAACATCGCACCGGAGTCGGCGTTCATCAGTCAGAAAATTGAAATACACAACGAGGCGCTTGTGACTGATAGTGGTACTCAGAAAATTATTTTTTTAAGAAGATACCGGAGCCAAACGTAGTCATCGGCACAGCCTACACACTGTCATGCACTTACGTAGGCAAAGCTCTCACTCAGAGAGTGGCGCCGATAAATATTATGCACAGACTGATTTCCCTCGCCGTACGGTGCAACCATAGAATCAAATCCGTAAGCATCGCACAGAGTTAGGCACTCAATCCCGCCATTGAACCTCACAACCAGATAGTCGAGATCTCTAACTAGGTGATGATACCCTCATGCACATCCTGAAAGTCAATGTTGATGCACACACTATTGCAGCGAGTTGACATTTTCACAGACTGATAATTCTCGCTAAACGGTGTAGCCATCGAGTAACACCCACCAACGTGACACACACGCAGGCATTCAGTCTTATAGTTGAAAGTCACAAGTAGGCATTCTCACCTTCATGAAGCATTAAGACAATGGGAGTCTCAACCGAACCCACAATCTGGTAGCCACACCCGCCCGGATAACTAACACTAAGGCGTTTATTATGACACGTAAAACTCACACTAACAAAATGGGGCCGATGAAAACTATTCAGGGGCTGATAGTTTCTACCGTACAGCCAACTGTAGAATCACACCTACCAGCGAAGTCGGTAGATTGAAGCCGAGTCCCAAACGAAAACGCGCACTCAAACAATTTCATTTACATCTCCGAAACATACTGAGGTTTTGAAGCTCGTATGTGCAGAGTAAGTATGTGGTGGTGCTCTATTGCGCCTATAGCACTTTATCGCTTCAACTCGTCGGTGAAAACTTTATTGTCGATTATACATTTCTTTGTTCAGTGAAAAATGTTTCTCTTTCTTTCGCTTATATTCATTTAGTAGTCAAGCGTGTTGACAGTACGCACACAAAAAAACAGCTTTCTTTCTCTATCTCTTGTAAATATTTGTTTGACTGAATTTTTTCAATGTCACTGGAAAGGCAAATATCCACAGTTTAAGGTTTTGTTCTGGGTGAGAGTCTGGGCATTGGGTTCCCGTGCTCATCATTGTGAAACAACTTGGTGATCACGTTCACTGTGGATGAGTGCAGAAGAGAGATGGTTTGAGTGTCGGTTGGCAACGATGGACACGAGAGCATAGGTAGCTGAGTGAAAGTCCGAGATCGGATAGATAAAACTGCGAATTTGCTTGCGTTTGGATGGATAAGGGAGTGGGTATTTGGAAGTGAATGGGTGGCAAGCGGGAGTTTTGATAGTGTGTGGCGAAATGTAGTCAGTATTTGATTGACTATGGGTTGGCAAAGCTACGAATGGGGTAGACTAATGGCAGGCTAGGGTTCGCGTTCTATGCATTACGCATGGGTAAGACATGAGTTAGGCGAACATGGATAGGTAAAGGTGCAGTTTCATTCTTGTGGAAGTGCATACGTGGCGAGTAGGAACCGATCTAGTAGGAGTGTCCAAGTGAGGAACTAAGTTGAAAGTACATGAATGAACCTGTATACGCATTTGCCTATAACTTGGAAAAGACAGGATCTTGATTTAGTGTGTGATTGAATGTCAGTGTATGGAACAGTAAAGGTTGAAATAAAGTTCGGATGGATGCGGGTTTGGGTGTCCTTATTTATTCAATTAATTTTTTTTCGCATTCACATACACCCAGATCCTCTGCGTTGAAAATTTGGACGTTATATACCTTACTATAATTGACTTTACGCCGCTATTATAGCTTTTACAAGAATGGACGTCATGAATGCTGGCATCAGGACTTTTTATCTAGGAGCGGGGCAGCTTCAGTCACTCTAGAGTTTCTAGAGGGAAAACATCTGAGAGAGATTTCTGGGAGGCTTCAATTTCAAAATTAATATCAAGTTTAAAATTTTCTGTGAGGTCTCAGCTAATAGTAGCCCTCCTTGGTGCTGATCCTTGAAATAAATTCATATTCAAAAGGCATATCGATATCAGGTTGATTTCTCATTGGTACTACTACGTATGTGCAGCTTCTTATTGCACAGAATTTCCAAAGTCCCTCCCATTTACTTTTTAGGTGTACTTCAAAGGGCGTAGCTTTAAAATCAGGCCTTAAAAGGATCGATGAACGAGAGTAAATCGAGTTTTCCTGAATCCAGAAATCAAGTATCAAAAATTGATTTGGCTCAAGGGTAGCCCTCCTTCGCACGCATCAAATAAAAAGAAACATTTCAGCGATGCTTGGTCTCAGCTGGATTTGAGTGTGCGTACTCATTTTTACACAAACAACCACACCTACGCCAACACACCCATATCTTCTAAGTAAAAACTTTCTTTATCACAAACTGAATACAATGAAGCCTTGCAGACTATATATTTCCTTTTCTGAATGCGCACAACCTGTATTGTTGACTATACTAATCATTTTCAATAGAGTTGAAGGTATACGATAATACACACAAACAGTTTGTCATGCCTATAAAACAATCTTAATAAATGAATTTATCGAAAGTAATTTTGAAATTACTTTTTCGGCTAATGATATCACATTTTAATGCAGTGTGTATTCGAAATGATTCATTGATTCCGAAGATAAAGAATTTACAATGACGAAGAATCAGAGGGTTTATTAGAGTAGAATTTACTATGCCAATGAATTTATGTGCGTCAATCAAAGGAGTATTCAGTGAATCATTTTGCACAGCGATGCGTATTCAACAATATTTTAGTGTGCAATAGTTTTCTTTGTCTGTCCTGTATTGCAATGCATTGCATCATATTTTGCAGGTATGAAGAAAGCAAAAAAATTTAAAAAGTCGTCATAGCAGCGGATAGTTTTGATCTAACGACCTTCGGATTATGAGACCGACGCGCTACCTCTGCGCCACGCTGCTCCTGTTCAATTTTCGTCATAAAAGTCATTGTGCCTAATCTGTTTCATTCGTTACAGCTGCGTACACTGCGAAAAAAAAGGTATCTGAGAAAACTCAAAGAGGCTTTCCAATTTGTTACTATCTGAAACCCTTTTAGAGTATTCAAGAATCGATTTTCAAACCTCCTGAAACCTATCGGAAACAAGCTAAGATATCTCTAAATATGCTGCCACCGGAAGCCCACAAAAGGTTCCCGAGCTTCATAAAAACCAGACTGGAAACCCATAAAAGGTTTCCTAATTGAGTAAATTCTGTAACTTCAAATCATAAAAAGGTTTTCGAATAGAAGATAGGGAAAACCTGAAACCCATGAGAGGTCTCGCAACTTGAGGCTGTATGTGTGGGTGTGAACGTGGGTGTCAGAGATAGGTATGCATTCACATCTACACCTTTACGAAGCGGTTGCATTTCAATTGATGCTACTACGAATTTTTCATTAACAGGGAAGAAAAGCGTTTTCAGATCCAAGGGCGTGGGGTGTGGATGGATACGCATGTAGATGCTGATCTTTTCTATTCTAAAACCAACGCCCACATCCCACACTCTCAAGACAATCAAGAAACTTCTGCCAAAATCAAGAGATTCTGCAAGCTTGTTCGAATTGTTGTTATTTTAGCTTTTTATTATTTTTTTTACGTTGATTTTTTTCTGTATTTTATTAATATTATATATAATCATATTTGATTTCGATAATCAAATAAGGACATTCTCTTAACACTTTCTATTATTTTAGTTTTATTTCACAGATCATTCGATAATGATAAATTTTTGCTATGCAATATTGCCCACAAAGACCATTACCATCATTCCATTATCCTGTTGCTTTGATTTGACATAAAAGTTTTCAATGTTTAGGACGATCAAAAAAATTTTTTCTGTACAATTTATTTAATTTTGACAATACAGAGGTGTTATAATTGGCTCATGAACTTGTTTAGGTGGTAATTGATTAGCAACGAATATACGATGCTTTTCTATATATGAACGTGCCTCAAATTGTTAAAGTTAAACTAGTTTTTGTTTTTGTTTAAAAAT